CGCTTGGGGTTTTTTCTCGCACCCCTATGTAAAATTGGGGAAGGGCTGTGAAAAGGCGTGTCCTTGTACCCACAAATTCACCCGCACCATGCCCCCTCATAGTACCGCGCTCCGGCCAAACTCGTCGTGCTCCGGGCTCACATCATGGTCGTCGTCGCTCGCTTGATCTTCCTGTCCAGCGACCGCCGCCACTCGTTCTGCCCACCGCCGTTGGCCCGGCTCTAGGTCTGCGCTCCACCCACCTCTTCTTGACGCCATGGGTTGCCCTCCGACGCAATGCGTGGTGCGAAGGAGTATTAGGCGGCAATGGCGCAGCGTCGATGGAGTCCATCTTGACAGCCGAGCAACTGCAAATCTATCAGTGATGTTAGTGATTGTGAAAAAAATGATAATAACAACAGAAGAAGTGGTAGGATTTAAAAGTCTATTATGCCCTTTGTCCCAAAGAATGGTGCGTATTAGATTTTTATTCACAACCAAATCTTGTAAATTTTGATCAAGCTTATAGATTTCTTAGAATGCAAAATCAATATTATTAGATTCATTATAAAATATATTTTCATATGATACATATTTGATATTGTAGACATAGATAATTTTCTCAATAAATTTGGTTAAAGTTCGTGAGATTGACTTTCAATACACGTGGGTTGGCAAGTTTCGGTGCAAACTGAAATTGTGTAGAACCAAAGAAGCGAACCGATCGTCTTTGCCATCTGCCGTCTGCCGTCTCCTTCCAACCCCCGGTTCTTTCCCCTTTGCCATCTGCCGTCTGAAGTCTCGAGCGCACCCTGTTCCTACTCCGCTCCGCCGAGACCTCGTCGCCGGCGACTCGGGATCTAACCCCTACACCTACACCTACACCACAACGCACTGAAGAACAAGGCGCAGTAACAGCAGAAATGGTGCTGATCCCTCTCATCCGGGATTACATCGACCGCATGCTCCAGGACATCTCCGGCATGAAGGTCCTCATCCTCGACCCCCAAACCGTACGTACGCGGCCCACGAAACCCTAGCCCTGGCAGGCCTCTGCTCCTCCCCATTTTTCTCACCAGATCCGCGGGCTCGTTCCAGGTGGGGATGGTTAGCGTAGTGTACAGCCAGTCGGATCTCCTGCGGAAAGAGGTGTTCCTCGTGGAGACGGTCGACGACGCCTCCAGCTCCAGGGCGTCCATGGCGCACCTAAAGGCCGTCTACTTCCTCCGCCCGTCCTCTGACAACGTCCAGAAGCTTCGCCGCCACCTCTCCGCGCCACGATTTGCCGAGTGCCACCTCTGTGCGTTCTTGATCCCCATTTGCTATATTCAACCCGTGAACTTGCTACATTCCTATCAGTTCACGTCTTTTCTGTGTGTTTTACTTTGAGAAGATCAGAAGAGTTGATTGCGATGGGGATGCAAACAATTTGGTAGACAACCCCAACAAAAAGAAAACCAGCACATGAAGTTTGGGGCAAACAAGATACTAAAGCAACTACTCAAGACTACTTGCTCTTTTCTGGAAACATTTTGCCCACCCTACTGTCTTAAGAAGTTTTTAAAGTTATGGGTAACTAGAAATAATAAAATTAATCAAATACAATGTAGCAGTTTGGGTGATAGCGTCGTACCTTGTAGCGGGGTCTGAAAGAGGGATGAATGCTTGGCTTGTCGCAGCAGAGTTTTGCTGATTTTGTTCATTTATTGTTTGTTTCCTTGCAGTCTTCTCCAATATATTGAAGATTCCACAGATTCAGGTGCTTGCCGATTCTGATGAGCAGGAGGTTGTGCAGCAAATTCAGGTTTATGTCGTTTGTGATTGTAATACACATTGGAATGAAGTGTTTGAGAGTTGAAAGGGAGGATGAAGTTGGTATATGAATGCTGTTTTGTTTTGCAGGAGTTCTATGCTGACTTTTGTGCCATCGATCCTTTCCATTTCACTCTGAATATACACAATAACCACATCTACATGCTTCCAACGGTGGTTGATCCTCCTGGCATGCAAAGCTTCTGCGATCGAGCTGTTGACGGCATCGCTTCTGTCTTCCTGGCTCTGAAGCGTCGCCCTGTTATTAGATACCAAAGGACATCAGATGTCGCAAAAAGGATTGCACAAGAAACTACGGTGGGTCCACTGTCAATATTAATATTACTACATGGAGACCATGAAAAAAAAACCATCAACTTAGGATTTCAGCACATGTCAATATTAAATATTACTACATGAAGCATTGTAGAGAAATCTTTTTACATGCTTATCCCAATGATTGAAACTGTTGAAAGATCACTGTCAACTATTATATTTTTGTTACTCTAGCACATCTTCAGTTGTTAACTCACTAGAAAACAGAAACACTTAACCTTTATACAGTAGTGATGAACTGATGATGCCTCATGCCTACACTGACATATGGTTCTTTTCATACTCTCTTGATTATTCTGTTCATATCTGCTTTCTGTGCTGTGATCCACATCACTTATGCCCGTCCGATTGTACTTCCATTGTTTGATCTTGAAGGCACAGTTACATATAGCCTCTAATTCCTCCCAAGCGATATGTTCATCTCTGCACACACTGCCAGCTAGTCCTAGGTGGATTTTTGTGCAGTTCTTACTGAAAGCTTGAATTTCTTTTATACCTTTTCATTATTTATTAATGATCTTAAGTCACACAACGTGAATCTGGGCTTTTATTGTTAGAGCATGTTAGAATGGTTTAGTTATTCTGCACTTTGTCTTCAGTGAGCTGGAGGATTATGATCAATGAAATTTGTATCGATTGTAAGTTTCTCAGATATGTATTCTCCGAGACTGCTTAGAATTGTTGAACCAACAATGAGATTATGAAGGGAGTTAGTATGGCTCTGACCTGTTGAACCAACAATGAGATAATGAGAATACAACCAAAAAGTTGTAGTTAAATTTTATTCATGTACTCCCTCCGTTCCTAAATATAAGTCTTTTTAGAGATTCCAATATGAACTACATACGGAGCAAAATGAATGAATCTACACTCTAAAACATGTCTATATACATCTGTATGTAGTCCATATTGAAATCTCTAAAAAGACTTATATTTAGGAACAGAGGGAGTAAAAGGGTGGAGTGGTACGAGTATAAGGGCAGTAGTTTTCATGTGGCATTTATCCAATTGAGTGCCTCTGGGTGGCATTATGTTACAATCATTGGTCAATTATGCATGTTTTAGAGAATTTTCATGATAAATTTCACATTCTACAAACGTGAGTAGGAAGAAGTGCAATTTATAGAAGTAGAGGAACATTGAAAATATTTTCTGTGCCAAAAAATGTACACAATTCTGTATCATAATTATGCCTTACTTCTGTTTTAAGGATTTTGTGATGCCATTGTGACTTCTGTTTGGAATACTTGTTGCTGAAGCACTTACAATTTGGAATGTGCAGAGGTTGATGTATGAGCAGGAAAGTGGCCTGTTTGATTTTAGACGAACTGAAAACTCTTCCTTACTATTGGTGATTGACAGAAGGGATGATCCTGTTACTCCGTTACTTAATCAGTGGACATATCAGGTACTCTAAAAGATTATAATCTGTGGCTGTTTTGTATGTACTTTTCTGTTGATTTGTTTACACATTTGAATTCATAGGCGATGGTCCATGAGCTTATTGGAATTGAGAACAACAAAGTTGATCTTAAGGAGTTCGCTAATGTACCTAAAGATCAGCAGGTTGAGAAGTGTTGAATTCTTCTTTTCATACTGTGTTAAAACACTGCATGAACTTTCTTTAAATATGATTGATGTGAAATATGCTCATATAGGAGGTGGTTCTATCAGCAGTACAAGACGACTTTTTTAGAGTGAACATGTTCGAGAATTTTGGAGACCTTGGTATGAATGTCAAAAGAATGGTAGATGACTTTCAACATCTTTCAAAAAGCAGCCAGAATTTTCAGAGTATAGGTAAGTGATATGGATTTTTGCTTTTGTTGTTTCCCATGAAAGAAATGGATCACGGAGAAATTGTGTCTATTTACCTAGTTTTTTTCATTTCATTTTTAATTTCACACCTTATACTTAAATATTGTCTTCTTATCCCCAACTAGTTAGTTACTAGTAGTCCGTGTCAGTTTAGGCTATGTTTCTATTATGCGATGCATCCCTTATATATAAAGTGGCGTAGGCTGCAGCTTAAAGAAGATTAGGCTCCATGTACAGCAGCAACCCAGGTTGCCAGAGTTCGCCACCACAGCCGTCCAGAAGCCCAAGTAACCTCACCCTCGCCCTGAAATCCAGCACGAGTACTACCTTCGAAATCTTGGATGTGACAATATATCTCTAGTTCTCAAACATTATGGCAATGTCACTTGCACAATACGGTTTGTTGGTTTATAGTCTGAAATACATATATACGGTGGCGCTATTCTATGCGAGCGCGCATAATTGTGCATCGTGCGCCCCGGCCGGTGCTAATTAGGCGTGCGGGCGCGCGTCGCACGCCGAGGGGCCTGCTATCTGCCGCTGCTAATTGGGTTGAGGGTAACGGCCTATGTAGAAAAAAGTAACACATTTAATTTTATTACCATGTGTCGCCCGCGTACCGGGATTCTGTTGTCACTGTTTATTGGCAGCAACGGGGATGTAGAGATGGTAATGGATGTGATTCAAGAGACGTTAGTGGACGCGCTACAGTCATTATTTATTGGCGGTAATGGGATGGTGGGGATGGTAATGGATGAAGATTGTTTACTAGGCAATGATTCCTAGATGGTTTGTATGTAAACGTAGTAAAGCCTTGCTAACAAGTAGTAACGAATTACCAACGGAATGGAAGGTAATGGACGGTACTGAAAAAGTAATTACCAATGAGGCGCACAACTAGTAAACGAATTACTAAACTATGATGGAGTAGATGGTAATGAAAAAATAATTACCAACGAGGCGCAAAGGTAGTAACAAATTACTACACTATGATAGAGTCGATGGTAATAAAAAAAATAATCACCCACCAAGCGCACAAGTAGTAACTAATTACTACGCTATAATGGAGTCGATGGTAATAGTTGGTAGTGAAAAGATAATTACCAACGAGGCACACAAGTAGTAACGAATTACAGCACTATGATGGATTCGATGGTAATGAAAAAAATAGTTACTAATGAGGCCCATGGTAAACCTAGTAAAACCAGGCCTATATGTAGTGTGGTGATAGTAACTCGTTACTAGTGTTTTTCCGCGGAGGAACGTGGGCCTGCTTAAGCGTGTGGACGCGCCACTGGTAAGGTCGTTACGAGAGATTCTAGTGCGCGCTTAGGAATTAGAGCATCCACTGGTTCGGTCGATGGGCGGCCGGAGTGTAGGCTAGGTTATAATGCGCGCACGCTGAGTTTAGCACGTATATATATCTGTGTCTGTGTGTGTGTGTGTTTTGTGCTTTGTTTTAAACTCTGAATGCCTGATATGCTAATGGTTGTAGATGATATGGCAAAATTTGTGAGCAACTATCCTGAATATCGAAAGACACATGGAAATGTGACAAAGCATGTTGCTTTGGTGAGCGAGATGAGCAGAATGGTGGAGGAAAGGAAGCTTATGCAAGTTTCGCAGACGGAACAAGAGCTAGCATGTGCAAGTGGACAAGCAGCAGCCTTCGAGGTATTCATTTGATGCCCGGAAACTATTTCACGCCTTTCAGGGTAACCTGGTCTTGGTATAGCTTGATTTTACAGCAACTCCCTCTGTCCCGTAATATAAGAGTGTTTTTTACCCTATAGTGTCACAAACATTGTTATATTATGGGGCGGAGGGAGTAGTTATCAAAGTGTAAAGCTGCTTCTATGTTTGTGATGTAAGACTGCTAACTTTTACATCTCAAATATTGCTTTGTTGTTGAACACCCCCCCCCCCTCCCCCTATATATGTATATATCGTTTTGAACCCATTCTACTCTTGTTGTTGCTTTGACCACTTTCATTAGCCATGTAAGTCGAATTGTGCCTCCCCTTAGAAGCAGCTTAAGGAGTTGATTCAAGCTATACCTATTCTTGGAACTGCTGACCTATCTGTTGACTTGCTCATTAAGATAGAAATACATTATGTATGACAAGGCTCATTTGTCTGATCAGTTTGATGCTAGTTGAATTAATGTGAGTAGGGTTTACTCCACGGAGAAACTGACCAGTTGATTATTTTTGCCAACCATTGACCAGTTGCTTTTTTGCAGGCTGTTACTTCCTTACTTAACAATGAAAGTGTATCTGATATTGATCGTTTGCGACTTGTAATGCTCTATGCTTTGCGGTATGAAAAAGAGAGTCCAGTTCAGCTGATGCAGCTTTTCAACAAATTGGCTTCTCGCTCTGCTAAATACAAGTCGGGGGTATGTGAACTGTACTAGTTCTTGTGGTAGAACATTTCTCCTTGTTTTCTTCTATTGCACATGTTGCTTTATTTCTTTTTCAGTTAATGGTCTTTCTAGTTCTTTTTTTTCGAGAAAACGCAAAAGCTTTGCGTTTCTTTTCATTGAAAAGGAGAGATTCAGTTACAATCATCCGAGGATGTGCGGATTACAGCCGGTTAATTAGTGCACACCCCAGGTTTGGGGCAGCACAAGTCGGAGGCCAGGTGCCCCAGCTGCTGCCCATGAGCGGGCCTCGTCCTTAATGCTATCTAGGAGTGTGTTGAGGGAAGGCATCGCATTGTCAAAGACGCAGCTGTTTCGGTGCTTCCAGACCATCCATGGTACGAGCAACGCAACAGATTTCAGGGCCTTGCGCAGGGTCGGCGGCGTGTCTTCGTTGGCCTGTCTCCACCAGTCCGTAAGCGATGGCTCCTGCGAGGGGATCGGGGCCGGGATGCGTAGCCAGGCCAGGGTCTCGTGCCATGCCTGACGGGCGAGGGGGCATTCCAGCATGAGGCGCCGTTTCCGGCTGCTGGTCACATAGGAGGCAGCGGGGGTGATGCTGGAGGCCATGGCGAGCCAGCCTCTCAGCCGTCCAGCATCGGTCCTGGTTGGCCAACCAGTGGAAGAACTTGACTCGCGGCGGCGCCCAGCATTTCCAGATCAGCTTCCGTGAGTGGCAGGCCGTTGCTCCATGGAAGGTCGCCGTGTAACAGGACTGCGCAGAGTAGTTGCCGCTCGCCGTCCAACGCCAGATCAATTTGTCCGGTGCGGTGGAAAGCTCGGTGCGCTGCATGATCTGCCAGAGTTGCAGATACTGACCAATCTCGTGGAGACCGGGGTTTCCTTGGATGTCTCTTGCCCAGGAGTTACCATTGAGCCCATACGCCACAGTTCTCGTTGTCCGTCGTCGCTTGGGTATGCAGCCGTAGAGATTAGGCATGAGCTCACGCACGGATTGGCCGCCGATCCACCGGTCCTCATAGAGCAGGGCGGACAGCCCATTCCCGAGGATCGTGAACGTGGAAGCCCAGAACAGGGCTCGTTCCATGGGCGAAAATTGGAGGTCGAGCCCTTGCCATGCTCGCTCCGGGTCCGTTCTGGAGAACCATAGCCAACGTGGTCTCAGGGCGAGGCTGGCACGCTCGAGGTCTCGCACGCCAAGGCCCCCGAGCTCGATGGGGCGGCACACTCTGCTCCAGTTCACATGGCAGTGTCCACCATTGGCAGCGGCACGTCCAGCCCAGAGGAAGCCGCGCTGGATCTTCTCGATCTACTTGAGGGTTTTTTGGGGGGCGCGAATGCGAGCAGTTGGTGCACTGGGATGGCACACAAGACCGACTTGACCAACGCGAGGCGCCCGGTTTTGGTCATCAGCCAGGCCTTCCAAGTCGGCAGGCACGCGCCGACCGCATCCACCATGGGCTGCAGCTGGGCGGCAGATGGGCGGCGTGTGGACATGGGTATGCCGAGGTAGGTGATCGGGAGGTTCGCCACCGGGCAGCCGAGGTGCGCGATCATCTCCGTGGCCACTTGGTCGCCGTGCAGGATGGTGGCGGAGCTTTTGGTGAAGTTCACCTTCAGGCCGGAAGCCCTGCCGAACAAGGCGAGGATTTCCCTGATCGCAGTGGTGTCCTCTGCCGTGGCATGACAGAAGACCATGACATCATCGGCATAGAGGGAGATCGCCGGGATGTGACGCCGTGGGTGTAGAGGCTGCAGGATGCCCAGGCTGTGTGCGCGTCGTAGGAGGCGTCCCAGGGTGTCGACGGCGAGTACGAAAAGCTGCGGGGACAGTCGGCCTG